CCTATAGGAATTAAAATGTGCCATACGATAAAGTTGCTTCGATGGACAATGAATATTTCTTCTTACTGATATCTTTTTTTTATTTCTTTCACAGACTGTAATAGACACTATAAGCAGTATACAAGGGTGCTCAAAATTGTTCGTACAAATGACAAATAACCTTGTTATCCTAATATCTTTAAAATAATTTGACCTTTTGAGTTATGACTCTCATCAAAATGTAGCTGACATTTTCTAGTATATTCGCTGAAAGTTTCATACTGATTAACCATACACTTAGTACAGTTAAGGTAAAAATATTAAAATTGTAGAGTTTCTGTTCTGGTCAAAATTATTCGTACATCAAAACTTTCACACAATACAACGGCATAAACTCTATGAAAAGAGTGAAATTGAATGAGTTTCACGTTCAATCTCTTCGATTACATTTGAATCTCTCTATTGACTATAGTTAAATATAACTAATAATTAACACTATAATGTCTTTTTTCTAACACCAAAGCAGAAAGCACTCTGATGAATTTTTATTCCTCTTATGTTTCTTGTTCTTTTCATTCTTTTTCTTATATAATTCTATTAGTATCGAGTTGAAAAGCCCTATTTTTTTATGCATTCTTGTAAATAATTCTCAACTGAATCAACCAATGATGCAGCTACATCGTCTTCAATTTGATTCCATTCCTATAACAATATTTGTTTCAGCTCATATTCATTTTTCGGTTGTATATGTTTTCGTATTTGTTGATCAAGTTCGGGTGTGTAGGTGTGCGTGTGTGAGTATAAAAAAGATACAAGCACTGACATCGAGGGTGCGGGTATACAGGTTGTCTTTACTGATACTCACGTTCGCACCCGCACGAGCACTCTTGAATACTTGAAACGCATCCTAGGCAAATCGTCGATGGAATTACTCGAATCGACCGCCAACGTTACACAGACGTCATGCATCCTCAAATCGCATTTGCCTATGTGTTAATATATTATGCAAGAAAAAGATGAAACTAAATGGAATTTTATTAGTAGTATGAATGTTTTCAGTATACGTATTACTGACAATATAAAATATAAATCAGAATGTAAACAACTTTTAATATTGATTAGTTTGCTCTGTACGTTTGTGATTAGTTGTTTTTCTTACGATGTCTTCCTATATTTGTCAAGCCAGATACATAAAGAAGAATCATTTAGTCGATAAGTATAATATCCTTTGTCTTTCTCAAACCATGCAAGGTGCATTTCAGAACCACTGTAACCAGTATTAATGTATGTAAATTTTATGCTTGACCTATATTTCAGATGACGAAGAATGTTTTGCATCTGATACAATTTAGACACAGAAATTGTAAGGTGCCTCACATTATCAGGAACTACGGAACAGATTTCCATGATATGATCGTATATGGGCTCATAGCTGCAAGAAATGAATATTGTAAGTGAGCGAATATTGTGTGCCAGTTTCAACAATGTATCAATATTGCCTGTCGATGCCCAATAATAAATAAATGAATTATTTATTTCAAGCGAAAGTTTGATGAGATGCGATAGATCGATGAGAGTCGAAAGAAGGCGAAATGAACCCGATGGCCATTCATCCCTAATGCATAGTGTAAGTTCATCGAGCTGAGGAAATACTATATTATTCGGCAAGCCACCCTATACATAACAAATAAATTCCAATAGATGATATTATTTGAAGGCTATTTCATAATAAACAAGGGAAGACATTCTTCACCTAGCAAGATTCGTCGTTCATATAATTGAACGAAGTGCTCTTCTAATGATTGTTATAATGCTAATGTTGGGAAGGCAAATTCAAGATGCACTGAGGCTCACTGTGGTCATTCGTTCGACCTAGCTTTTCAATGAGTTATTCCAAGTTAGCAACGATCTAATGGCAGAAAAGCTGCATAATCAACCGTCGCGTATTTGACTAATATATCAATACAGATACTGAAGTGGAAAGAGTTTTATGAACAATTTAATAATATCCATACCCTTAATTAGTATTTTGTATGTAACAATCACTGCATGGATGAGGATGAAATTTTGATCGAACTGCAAAAATTATCTAATATTTCTGTAAAAAACTCTCTATTGAACGACTTATATCATGGTTTACTTAGAACAATTCATATGTTGTTTTTTTTGCAAAAGAACAGTGCACAAAATAAGGAAATTCTACTAATTTTTTTTCTGATCGACTCTAGAATAAAATCATTAAAAATTCTCATTCCAGACTATGAGGAGGGAAATATCGGTGTTTAGAAATAAAACGAATTGATATTCAATATTACCTGTGATGATGTAGCCAAAGGCATCACTTTTGATAAATCCAGGAGCATTTTACGTACTCCATCCATTACTATTGTATTATGAATAGTTGGTGCTGAAGTCGAACGACAAATTTTCTTTGATTCATAGGTAAATTCGAATTGAGGATCGAAGCTCAATGGTGTGTAGAGAATGACAGTTCGTGGATATACAATATGATCACATATGACAAACCAACTTTTGGTAGTCCAGAATGAAGTTCGAAACGGAGCTATAAGCAATTCGGTATCAATAGGTTGATCCAAATACATCAAGTCTTCAGTAAGAAAACATTCGAATTTGGTCAATGAAAGCAGTTTTGTTTCAACGAACTTTTCCCATTGTTGTAAGTGGGATATAAAAGTACCTAAATCTATTGTTCGCATCAACCGAAGATGTTCAAGCGTTGGTGCGAGTAAGAGAAGAGACTCAAGTATGATCATATCAATGCTACAATATTTGAAAGTTAGAGAAAGTAATTGATGAAAGGGTTCAAAATTTGATAGTTCAGGAATTGTTTCATCACTAATGTTTTCATGTAATTGTTCTACTACTAATGTTCGTAGATTAGGTAAATGACAAAGGATGGTACAATATTCATCGAGTGTACCACAATAAATCTCCAAATGTTGTATTGTACATTCAAAAGGCCACAATATGTTAGACATATTAAAACTAGAAATATTCAAATTGAGCTTGCGAAGGCTAGGTAAAGATATAGCTGGCGATAATGCATCTATGCTTGTATGACTTCGCGAATAATCTTGTTTCGAATGAATTGATAGTGAATTGAGCGTCAAAGTTTGAATATCTTTCAAAATAATATTCAAGTAACAATCATCGATTTCAAGAAGAGTTAAAGAGCGAAGTCGAGTAAAGTACTTGATGCGAATGAACGAAAGAAAATATTCAATTTGACCTGGTGTCTCATCTCTATCAGAGAGTGTAAGTGATTCAATATTCTCAGATTGAATAAAATTACAAAGGAAAAGAAAGTCTGATTTTGAAATCGAATTGAAATCTAATTTAAATTGATTATACGTTTTAACAGCATCATAGAATCGTTTGCAAACACAACGAAATGTACGAACAATCGTTTGTGCATCGAGATAATGGAAAATGTAATGAATCAGTTCCGTTGGTAGTGTACAGAAAGACGGAGTCGACTTAGTAGACATGACGATATGTTATCAGAAGAGTGTCTACGTCACCACACTGTTTCTTTCCAACTTGGGACGGAAGAAAAAAAACAAATTTTTTATTTTCTGCAATGCAACAAAGAAAAACAGAAAGAAAAAGTAAAAATACACCTTTTCAAGCAAATAAAATAAAACACACGTGTTTAATGATTCTTACATAGGGTTTGAATGCAAAAATTTATAGGTATAAATGAAAGAAAAATTTGTACTATCATTAAAAAAGAAATAATGGAAATATTGAATGATCAAATTGAAAATTGAATCAAACATTTGATAGAATATTATTGATCATTCAGAAAAATAATTTTGCTACATTTTAAGTAGAACGACTGAAAATATCTAATGAAATTGCTTGATAGCATATTTTGAATGATACGACAGCTGATTATCAACACGTTTTTGTTGAAGGAAGACATCCTTCAGAAAATATTTAAGTATGAAACTAAGTATTTTCAATCGGATTTTAGTAATATCAACAAACCTAACGATCTTTCCGTAGCTACAAAGTCATATCAACAGGATATCATCTCAAACTGAATTGAATAATCTCAGCTAGCAACTTTCTTTATTGTTATAAAACTACACAATGATAAATTAGAATAATTTGTCATTGTCACATTCGAGAAAAGTCTTACTTGCCTAGCTTTGATGCTTCTATAACAATTATTTTGGTGTAAAGGATCATATTTTCAGCAAAATGTATATATTTAACTATTGCATGACCATGTATACTACTGTACATCAGAAAATCCATTAAAAATCATAATGGAGGCATGTAACTATAGGACATAAATAAAATATGCTACTTGGCTTCTTCCAACTTTGTTCCAAAAAAAAAGCTCTTATATATGAAGACAATCTGTAACTCATGTTGGCTTTTTCCAACTAACTTAAAAATATTTTACTTTTCTCTTCACCTTTTCATCAACTAACATTCACACATACACTTACCTCAAGACGTGCCTCGTTTTTTTATTTCTCTTTCTCACTCATACAGAACGAAAGAAAGCACACAGCCTTGCTGACTTCATATTAGGAAGTAATTTGGATACAATGGCATCGTTCGAACCAATTGTAGTGGTATTCGGATCCAGTAAAAGCATCGCAGCTGTCAATTTACGATCGCCTGTGTCACTCTTATTTGCTTTCGATGTCACATCTCTTGAAGAGCTTGTTAATGTTACTCCACAAATTGCTGACACATGTTTATCTCGATTCTTTGTTATTCTACTTGATTCCATTGATGATGATCTTTTGACGCGTTTAAAAGCAAACCATCGTGTGAAAGGTATATACAGGCGAGACAATATGGATTCTACTAGTCAGGAACAAGTGAATCGAATGACAAACTCATTCAGACAGCTGACGCTAGACCTATCAAATGACATTATTTGTTTTTTGACGTCCGAAGGTGAAAAACAAGTAAAATTAGAACGAATTTCTTTGGTGAAGATTTATTTTGAACAAGCACGGACATTGAAACAATGGATCATGTCATTTATTAAGGTAGGATCAATAAATCTGAATTCGATCGTTCGATTTCGTTCTATTTTAGGCTGAACCCTGTCATATTCTTCTTATTTCATTAAACAGCAGTCAAGAAAATATGGACAATACTCAGCAAAGATTACAAAAAGTTTGTAAGTCTAGTTGACATAAAATCTTAAAACAACCGTAAATTTTCTTATTATCTATAAACGAAAGCATAGCTTTGTACAAAGTTTACTAAATGTCTGAGCTTGCTGAAACTATTCTATGATAAGATGAACTGAGACTTTGACGATTCTATCCAATTAAATCATTGTCACGGATCGGATCGAATCACGAAAAATGACGCATGGCGATGATTTCAATTAGGACTACCATTACAATAAAATCTGTCTAAAATTTGTACTCTTAGGATTTTTTTAAGGTAACAATTTTAAGGAAGTATACATGTCAGAAAATCATTAGAAACTTTTCATTGAAAAAAAAATCGTATTCTATCAACAAGTATTGTTTAAGAGCTAATGAATAGAATGTACTACATATATTTCTTTTTCTTGTAGTATTTTTTTTTTCTTAAAAAATATCCTTTCTCGCGAGTAGAAGCCAGATTTCTGAGAACTTCGACAAATACAGTTCTGCCTAGCTACTTGTGAACGGTCCATACTTCTAATTATTGCCTTCCTTATCGATATGATGAGCATGAGCAGTGTCGATCATTAGTCTGCTTTTAAATCCATCCTTTTTCTCATAGAAGCTCGATGTTTTGCCATCAAGATTGATAATCTCGGCAGCCGACAGCCGTTTGGTCTGAGCTGCTCTTGAATAAAATTCCGTTCGAGGACAACTGAAGTTTTTTAATATTTAACTGATCAAGCCTGTATGACTGTAGGTTTGTTTGTATTTGACAAACAATAAAAATAAAAAGTTATTAAACACTGGTTTTTAAGAGGTATTCATTGCTATTAATATCAGAAAAAAATGCTGATTGCCTATATTAAGGAGATGGTTAGTTTAGAGATGTTGATTCCTATCAAAAACATGATAGAAGAATCTCCAAGGATCCAGTTATAGAAAGTGCCCACTTTAGAATGTTTTACTACTATAGGTTTTCGAGGGATTCCAAATTGATCTATACGATCTACACAAAAAAGAGAGAAAAAAAAAGTAGTCTCTTTGACTAGTATGGCTGTTATTAAGGAAGGAAAGTAAATTGAAAATGAATTAAATGGATCGACAACTTTGTACTTCAATCGCAAACTATTTGTTGCATATCGATTGATTCATGACAGCCATTTATCAATGCATGTTTGGAGGAAAACAAAAGGTTATAGATCAATTTTCTGAATATTCAGTACAATAGTTTGTCAGATAAATTTCATCTTGTTGTGTTAGTTAAACCAGAAAGACGAAGTTCTCAATATTTGACAAAGAATTCCTATATTAAAGTTGAAATCTCGATTGTCTATGAGAATTCATTTGATAGCATAAAACAGTCTAGACGAATGCATGAATTCTATAAGGCGAATATAACTTGTTTCGTAGGTACAAAAATCGGCTATACTTCAGTAGTCATTCGTCAACTCAACGACTATATCCCAAGTAGTGACAGACACTCATCACTTTTACCATATGCTGAACTACTTTTCAAGAACGAAGATCCACATTACATTTGTCGATTCATTAAGAAACTGTCACCAATTCGACTCTATGTATATGGTAATATGTTGCGCATTCATAGTGAATGGAGCAAATTAATGATTGCAACTGAAATTGACATCATGGATGATGAAGATGATTGGTGTGCATTCCTCGAGAACGAATATGTTGAAGATGAAGTAAAATGGAATTTTGGCTTTATCTTTGGTCGAGAATGGAAAGTGTCACGAGTATCACCACTCAACTTTACTCATTTGGACGAAAATCTTCGATTTCACTCAGCACTTCGTCGAGCTCATGCTACGTTTGCTCCACGACAAGTTGAAGTTACAGCAAAGATATTTGACTGGCATGCAAATTGTATCAAACAAGGATATCTTCAAGAAGAAGTAAGAGTACAAGAATACTCTTAATATTAACTGATCATTTTTATTAATTTCTCTTTTCAATAGCCTAAATTGACTGACCAATTAAAATCAACAAAATACGATCAGCACATTCGGAAAGTCAACCTTGAGTTGATGAGTAGACACCGTTTTCGACATCTATCTTCTTTTAATTATCATCGCTTCGATTCTCCAAAGGCTAAATTATTTTCGTTTATATGGCTTGATGAAATGTTGCACGATACCGAAATTCAATTTCAGCATATTATTGAACCATTTCAATGGCAATTTTTCAACAATGTATCATCATGTGTATCATTCATTGAAACGCAGTTACGCGAACGACGATACATATTTTTGATTACCTCAGGATCACTTGGCCATGAGTTATTTCATTCAGGGTTATGTTTGACAGATCAAATTTTTGCTTCATATATTTATTGTGCTCAACTTGACCCAAATTTGGATTGGAGTCGTGATTATGCGCAAATTCGAGGAATTTATAATGATTCTACAAAGCTCGCTAATAAAATCAAACAAGATTATAAAGAGCTTCAAAATTCGTTGAACATTTGTGAAACAGAATGGCATACTGCATCGAACACTACTAATGAAAATGAAGTGAGATTGAATTTTATAGGAGCATAAGATAGAAACTCAAATAGTAGATTCAGTAAAATTATTTTCCTGCAACAATGTTTAAAAAAAATTGTACACTGTCTAATATTTCAAAAATCTTAGTTTGTGGAGATGGGACTTCTATCAGTAGATACATTGCCAGACATCTTATAAAATTATGTGAAAACCGAATTTTCTTAATTTTGAGTGATAATTTTTTTTATATCGATCTAATAAGAGTTACTTCAACAGCTACATATGAAGACCAAAATATTGTTGTATATTCTATTCTCTAGATTTTACAGAATGTCGAGGATGTGAGCTCGCTATTGCCATTGCCAATAACTGTTTATAATCCAGAACAACCTCATTTGTTCATGGCTCATCAGCGAACAATTGATAGTCTTCTTTGTATGCCACATACATCGGAGTCAAAAGCAGAAATGCTTACTGAATTTCGACGTATATTCGATGATAATCAAGAGATTCTTGCTGAGATTGATGAATTCGAAGATACTTACCATTCGCATGCAGCTGTTCAATGGTACACACGTGATTCTTTTGTTTGTCGAACAATTAACCAAGCACTTCGATCAAGTAACGTCGAAGCGATGTTTAAACTACGGTACATTCTCACTGATTTATATGCTCACTTGAAGGAATCCTATCGACAAATGCATTGGTATTTACAAACATCAAGACCGGAAATATTTTATCGTGGTCAAGGGATGTCACGAGAAGAATTCGATTCTTTTCAAGAACTTCGAGGTAGTATCATATCGATAAATACATTCTTATCGACGACAGCTTCGATGCAAATCGCTCTGTTGTATGCGGGCAAATATCATGAAAATTCGAATCTGATATCAGTCGTATTTAGCATTGAAACAAATCCAAAGGCACTTATACGTCCATATGCTAATATTTCTCCTTTATCAATGTTTCAAGATGAAGAAGAAACTTTGTTTGCTATGGGTAGCGTCTATCGCATAGGCAATATTCGTCCACTGCCAGATGCAGACAACGTTTGGGTTATATATTTACAAACAATTCATCAAGACGATGATCGATTCTATAGGATTTCTTCAGCGACTTCTTAGGTTTCTTTGAAATGACACCAGTAGTTTTATTCTTATAATCGAGAAATTTGTTTACCTATTCAGTTACCTTATTAAAATAAAATAATGAAATAATCTTAATTCAGACTTAAAAATGAATCTCATATTCAACAGTGTTGTATCTATTACCTCTAAATTTTCCCTTCGCATTATAGTTTTTTTTTTGTTCAAGTGGACCAATCGTCATTTTCACTATCGCTCAGTATTTGTTTTATCGATGAAAACTAGATCTCTCAAGAATTCATAATTCTCATCGATCAGAGTGTGAGTATTATTATCTTCCTCACACCCACACCCTATCTGTCGCCTTTCTCTGTGCAATGCGTCATGAAATTCGATGGCAAATAGACTATGTTGATCTATCTTTCGTAGTTGCAAAATATATATATATATATATATAATCGCGTTTTAAGCTTTGACTGATTCTCTTCGGTATAATATATTTTAGCGACAAACAATACGCTTGTTGGTATTTGACTGCAATTGATAATATTTTTTCGTTGATTGACGTCGACATAAAAATCGTTCTTGACGCTTCTGCTACCTCCGCCTCCTTTGACGAGTAGCCAATACAAGATCATGTAAATATGACCGATGATAGCGGAAAAAGATCAGTCCAGAAAGAAAATTCCAAGATTATCATAGATGACTTCGAAATAGTTATCAGATGACAAAACTGCAATTAAGGTCAAATTTATCTATCAATCAGTGTCGGTGCCATATGATGGTGAAGATCTTAGTATATGTTCAGTGTGAGGCGTTGCCAAGCTTGCAAAGTCAACATTAACAATCAATGTAATGTTTGATATATTTACACCAATGACAAACACATTGTTCATATAATAGATATCAGATGATTCAATCTGAACTCCAAAAATGTGACTGGATCATCGTTATTTATTGCCGTATTATTATATGAATATTGAACAAATGAAGATAGAATTAATAAATTAAAAGACTTCTTCGACTTGTATGAAAATATAACACTTTGATGAAATTGATTCTTAGTGATAAATTCTCAATGGTTCACGACATACTACCTAAGTTAATGTTAAAGATACCCTGTGATTTGGTGAGAGAATCCTTCTTAATATCGGGAGTAAAAATGTATATATATGAATGTGAACATTTAATAAACTGGATGTAAATAATATATTGAACATCAATATTTATTAATAACTCATATATGAAACATAATTGAATGGAAACATTATACTCGTTTAATATAAAAATAAACGAAGAACATTCGAGTTTTTGTGTGTTTTTTTTAAACAAATCAAATACGTTGTTCTGATATCGAAGACTATTTCTTTGAGAGAACAGACGTTAACCTATACTATTCAATGACAATTCATTATGTTCTTTATTTGAATCCATACTCTAGTCGGATAGAACAATCGGAATTTCTCAGTTGAGGTTTCAATGAACGAAGACATGATTTTGAATATTTAAAGTCAATTATACATTGCATTTCAAAAATGAGTCTTGTTCATTTTTGATTCACATCTACTGGTATTCACTAATTCGATTTAACACTAATGAAAAAGTACAATAACAAAGCTTAAATATAATTTCAACTGATTTTTGGAAAAGACATTGATTAATGAAAATTTGAGAGAAATCAACTGAAAAGACAAATTTTAAATAGTATGTAATAAATCATTTAAAAACAAGAAACAAGAAAAAGATCGTAACCATGGATATTACTTTGAATAGTTAATAGTAAAAATGTTCATAAAGTATAATGAGTAAAGTATCATTAAACAAATTCATGAATTGATATTTGATCAAAAAATAAGTTCAATTAGAAAATTCCTCTTAAACGAACTGTTGAATAAAATTCGTTTTAAATCAATTTTTGAAATCAAAGTCAATGCAATCCGTAATAAAAATGACTCCTTTTTTATCTCAATCATATGTCACATCGGATTTGTTCTGTTCATTAAAGAATTACCATGAATCCCATATCTAGAAATAGGATTTGAATAAATGATTGAAAATAGGTAAAGTCAGTGTTTCTTTAGTGTTATTTGATCTTAATCGGAAAAATCATTTTTTTCATCTAGTATAATTAGAGTTAGTTTTTCTTATTTTTCATTCCATTCTATTAAAAACAATCATTTTTCCATCTAGTAGAGTTAGAGATAGTTTTCCTTTAGTTTTTATTTCATCTTAATAGAAGCAGTCAGTTTTGTTCCGTGAGGTTTAATTATAGACAATGACCTATGATTTCAGATTAAGGAGATAGAGAAATATTTTCTTTGTTGAATTTGTTTTAGATAAGAATATGCTTCTTAGTTAAGGTATATAAATTTTATTGGTAGATTTAACAGTGTCCCGGTTTATCTTTGTTAAGGGTTTCTGTATAAGTCTAGAGATCTAATAAATCCCTTTTCACATTCTTTCGTTGACAAATGCAACCTAGATCAGCTTTTCTTATGACAATCTCCGAGGAGTTTCAAATGATTGACAAAACCTCCAAGGAACATTTGAAAAGCTAGGCAAAAAACAACGAGAAATCCTTGTAGATTGCCTAGGGGCTACGAAGCTTCAGCTCCTAGGCAATCTACAAGGATTTCTCGTTTTTTTTACCTAGCTTTTCAAATGTTCCTTGGAGGTTTTGTCAATCATTTGGAACTCCTCGGGGATTCTTCTAGGAAGAGCTTATCTTGGATCGTATCTTTCATCATTTAAACTATAATAGTGAAGAACGTGTTCCGCGAACGTGAAAGCCCTTTTTTTTTTAAGAAAAGAAAACGTTTCTTAAGGGTGAGAACGCATTCTTGACCGTTTCATTTTGGAACGCATTCCACTTTTTATGTAGAGCGGTTTTTTTTTCTTAAAAAAGGTTTGCTACGAAAGTGGAACGCGTTCTTTACCGTTTTTTTTATAAATATTTTTCACTGGAATATACCTGATCTGGACATGTTGAAACAATAATCGAAAATGAAGCAGAAAAGAATGGCTATCAGATGCGAAACACAATCGTTTTGATGAAGAAACTCTAAGAAAACAAATGAAATATGTTTTGACAAACATGCAAACCAATATTGAACTATTTGAAATTATTTAATGTTCATATCCATTTCATCTCCCTGCTGTAGAAACGCTAATGATCGTCATACTGATTATTGATTATATTCATCAAATCTTAAGAAATAAGTATTACTTTTTAATATTCGTCAATGTAAATGAGATCCAGTTTGAATCGTCTCATGAAATAAATTATTCTTTTCTGATATGGCATAAAATTTTATGAATTTTCTAAATTCGACATTGAAAAGTTGCCTTAACGTTTACTATTTAATATTGATGAATCCCATTTTCCACGCGCTTTACTTTAGCGTAAAATTTGTTGTTGATGTTATTTGAAATCAAAGCATTACGCCTCTGATAAAATATTTTTATGCACCCTGTATGAAAAGAAGCAGTAGAAAACAAAATGTTTTACTTCCGAGCTGTATTTTATATGACTCTTTAAAACATTCTCATTTTGTTGCTGTTTTGACTACAAACGACACATTTCTCTGAATAGAACAAAGTCAAAACACCGCATACATCATGTTAAAATTTCTTTCTACCTTTCTTACGGCCAAAAGAAAATAAAAAGCATGCTGATTTCTATTTTTTTAACATATAACAGAAGAAAAAAGGTACCCTATCTAAAATAAAAAAACGCAAATAACCTTCTTTATTGCGATAAAGACAGATGTAAGAACAAAAAATTTTCCGCGACGTCTATTCTTGTTGAAGAATATTTTTACCTGAATTTCTTATTAATTGTGCGACTACGTTTTGTTGATTATTGTTTCTTCTATAGATTTTCAATTTTTACAGACTAATTTATTGTAATAATGGGAGCTAATAGTTCAAAAGCGAGGATTAGCTCACTAGAAGAGAAACAACAAGCACTTATGAAAAAGAATGCTGAATTAGCACAACATCTGATTGAACAAGAAGAAGCAAGTAAACGACAACATGATGCAACAATTGAACAAATGGCTCTATTGTTCTTAGCACTTGCACAATCGAAAGATAATGAAACAGTTATACGTGATGAAAAACGAGACATTGAAATTGAAGGTACGACATATGAACTTATTCAATTTGTTGATCGAGGTGGTTTTGGTGAAATTTATAAAGCAAAAGTTAAAAATAAAAATATGATGGTTGCTATTAAAGTTATGGCAAATTCACCCGGTCTACAAGAAGAAATTAAAAATGAAATTAATTTTTTACGTTTAACAAAACGAATTCCTATTGAAAATCATCCTATTATCGAATTTTATGGTAGTAAATTAACGAAAGAAGGTATTTTTATTGCAATGGAATTAGCTGCTTGTGATCTTGTTACATTTTGGATTAATAAACTAAATGAGGGTGACGCTCAAGAACTCATTATTATCGGTATAATTATTATTATTTATGTATTACGTGCATTAGCATTTCTTGAAAAATTAAGTATTATTCATGGTGATATAAAACCACAAAATCTTGTTATTGTTCCTAATGAACAAAATTTTTGTATTAAATTAATTGATTTTGGTACAGTCGAAAAAATGAATACTTTACGTGCACAACTTACTGTTGAAGCTACTAAATCTCATACTCTATTTTTTGCTTCACCAGAATTTTTACGACGTGATTCAAAAAATCTGATATCAAGACGTCTACATAAAAAATCCGATGCATGGGCAGCTGGTGTTATGTTTTATCTTTTATTTTGTGGTGGATTACCATGGAAAGATCAATATGAATATGAAAATTTTTGTAATGATCCAAATGCAGAAGATGTTGTTGTACCTGAAGATGGTGGTTATAAAATGATTATTGAACTTTTATTAAAGAAGAATCCTAATGAACGTTCAAGTGCTAAAGATACACTTATGCAATTAAAAGCACATCCAGTATTCGGAAAGATTGTCGAATCACTTCATAAAAATTTTTGTCCTGTTGATGATGTATGTCATGTAAAGGTACCCGAAGATGTTCGACAAGGATTAAGTAAGTTAATTACTAAATGTGTAAAAAAGAAAAAAAAAAGTTGAAATTAGAAAATATCTTTGAGTTTGAATTTCTTTTTTTATCGAATCATTGAGGGCAATATATAACGGATGAGAAAGAATAGACGAGAAAATTAGGTTTTTTTTTCGTTTTGAAGCATACAGTTTTTCAATAAAAAAAAACAAAAACAAAACTTCTAATTTCTGTTTGAAGCGTGACTAAAGAATTGTTCGATTCTAATGTTTCAAACAGATTCTTTTTTTTTTTGAGTATGCTATTGATCGAATATGAGATAAAATTAAAACATATTGGATCGAATTGATTAGATTTTAATGTTTGCATTGATTTTCGAGAAATAATTATACAACTTTCATTGTTCTTATATGCTACGAAATTTTTTCTTTGTATTGTTTTACTTGAAAGAATCTATTCTAATAGTTTACATTATTTTTAATTGTGTTTAGTTAAAATTGCACGGCCTGGACATTATGCTAGTAGATCAGGTTCATCATCTGGCAAAGATACGAGTAAGTATAGGAAACGATTACTGTTTGAAATACTATGTCAAAGACTCAACGCTCTTATTAATGTCTATTGACAGCTGGAGCACGTCGTTCATGTCGATATGGTCGAGATTGTTACAGGTTTTGTAAAAATATTTTCATCGAATATTTGTTTATCCTTAATCTGATCTCACCTTAGAAAAGATCCTGATCATCGTGCAGAATTTGCACATCCAGGTGAATCGGATTACCAAGCATCAGGAGCCTCTGGTACTGGAAAAATAAAATGTGCCTATGGCGCTAAATGCTTTCGGTAGGTGTTTCCTTTTTTTTCTCGTAAATGACTGTAGATCACCTTTTCTAAATTTTCAAATGATATAATCAGGTAATTTATTGCGTAATATATTGAATAGATTGTTTTGAAATAAAAAACAAATCATCAAACATAATTAATTTTATAAAAGTTAAATATTATTTTGTTTTGATTCTTTTCTTATTCAAGTACCGATGCAGATCATCGTCAAAAATATGCCCATCCATCTGATTCTGATCAAGGTCAACCCTGTCGCTACGGAGCACAATGTCACAAGTATGTTGAACTATTAAAGTTCCTATGTTGAAAATATAAAAAGAAGACTATTTATTTAAAAGAAAAAAAAATGGAATAATAGTTTTCAAATCAAATCGGAGTTTCTGAGAACAAAAAAAGAAAAACTTATCCATCAGGATTTTGTATTTCTGACGTCGAAACTCGAGTCATATCGAAAACACTGAATACAAGGTTCAGTTGAACGGGAAAAGATTCGAATTTTTCAGCTATGTTGTCAATATTTTGATTATCAATTCTATTACAAATTATGTTCTTGGAAAAAAAATATTTCATCAAAGTCTCTATAAAATGTCATACTTGATTTAATGTGTTTTCAAATTAACGAATCCTTGATTTTCTTTCAAAGAAACCAATTGATAGTTTAAATGTAGTGGCAAAATATCTCGATCAATTGCGAAACATAACGAATAATATTCTACTTTACCAATTTTTTTTAAAGTAATGATCCCAGTCATCGTCAACAATTTACACATCCGAATGATACAAGTCATGATAGTCCCGGCAAGCAAAAATGCCGCTATAGAGATGCATGCACAAAGTATGTTACATATCTCTTGAAATATTTTCAATTTTCTTTATTAAACATTTTTATCTAGGAGAAACGATCCAGATCATATGAAAAAGTTTTCACATAATTAATTTTTATCTAATAAAAACATCTTAAATTATTTTTTACTCTTGAAATAAAAATTATTTGATAATAAAGAGAGAATTTTTTTTTTAGAATGTTGTAATATCAGACGCGTGTATATATCAATGATTGGAATTAATTTTTATTGCTTGAGAAAATCAACATGTATTAATACTAATGTCTTTTCTTTGCATTCGAACAATGCTCAGATTTTCGAAAAAGTAAATTTTTCTGTTAAATAATTAAATTTCAGAAGCATTTAACATATAAAAAGAAAATTATGACGAAAGTTTCAAAATGACCAAAATTTTCATTATAGCATTTAGAACTATTCATAATCGATATGCAGAAATTTATTATAAATTTTACGACATTTACTAACATATGAGAAGCAAATTTCAAAAGAGTTTCGATTATTATTCTCATATGAAAAGGAAACTACTATGAGACAATCAAGGGATATCAGAATGAATAGCGTAATTGTGTTAGCATTTGAGAAAGAATTTTGCGTGAGTTTTGGGTAAAACTTCGGTAATTCCTTGGAGAATTCTACAAGTACTAGAATATTACGATAATAAAGAAAGTTTGAAAAATTTCTTTAATTTATACGTTCATTGATCAAAATATGAATTCATATGAATAGAAAAGCCTATTCTGAAAACTAAAAGAATTTTCAAAAATGTCAATAACTAATGTCTATTTCAGAGTTAAATGGCCGTGGATATTCATTGGATAACTTTTAAACAAAAAGAGAAAAGTAACTCGAATTTTTCATACTATCTAGAGTTAACATTGCTGCTCTATCTTTTTATAAAGTTGTTGAAAAATTTTGGTCGTTTGTCTCCTTTAATATATCATGAGATTTAAAGATGAGCTTCATTCGCTTTGAAAACAATATATTTTCCCAACTCTAATATAATGGACTGATAGCCTAACTTCTTCTCTATTGATCTATGAAAGGCTGAGATCAATAATTGTTTGCATTCAAAAGATATAAAGATTTTACTGAAGATTACTCATCAAATTTTTTTTCAAAATCTGAGTAGCTAATAAATAATTTCTTCTATAAGTTTTTAGTCGTCTTCGATTTCATGAGATGATTTATTAACCTTCGAAGGTTTTTTCCTATTAAAAACGTCATCAAAAAACCATACATGGGATTTATTTTGATGATACTGATTCAATATCTTCAGAAAGTTCTCGTCCATCTTTATTTTTTTGATGCTTTCATCGCAAAAATCTTTCATCTCAAATCGGTCAAGTGAAGAGAATTTTAAGATGTTTACATAGAGAGAAGTCATTAATCATCTGTACTGTAGGTGCTAGAATCATCATTATCATTTAATTCTTCTTCGATCCCTTCAACATACATGATAGCTTTTTAAATGTTATCTCATATTGTTTGACATGACTGATGTAACTGGTTGCTTCCGTCACACGTAAATCATAAATTCATTTTTGTGCCAATTCGCTCACTTCAGTTAAAGTAAACTTCGTGTTTCTATCACATATATATATGTTTTCATATTGACCCAGGCTAATTCTATAGGATTCAAGGTACAGTATTTCATTAGTAAATGAATGTGGGTGTGATGGTAGCTGAAGAAAAAAACTTCGAAGGTTAATAAATCATCTCATCAAGTCGGAGACGACTAAAAACTTATAGAAGAAAATAGTTGTTAGCTACTCAGATTTTTAAAAAATTGGTGAGTCATCTTCAGTAAAATCTTTATATCTTTTGAATGCAAACAATTATTGATCCCAGTCTTCCATAGATCAATAGAGAAGAAGTTAGGCTATCAGTCCATTATATTATAGTTGGGAGAGTATATTGTTTTTGAAAAGCGAACTAAGCTCATCTTTAAATACCATGATGTATTTAAGAAGAAAAATGACCGAAATTTTTCATCAACTTTGCGAAAAGATAGAGCAGTAATGTCAACTCTAGATAGTATGAAAAATCCGAGTTACTTTTCTCTTTTTGTTTAAAAGTTATTCAAAGAAAATCCACGGCCATTTAACTCTGAAATGGACATTAGTAAAAAATGCATCGAGTTTCACTGAATTAACCAGCAGGAATTCAGTTTAAACTATAGGTCTCATTATTCGAAGCTCAATCTCAATATATGTTGAATTATCTTCCGATATCAAAAAAAGATGAGACTAAACCAATTTTGCCGAAAGAACTCATCTTCTTTTTTGTATTATTGATGTATTCTAAAAATTCTTATTCAACAAAATATAATTGTCAAATGAATGTAATTTCATTTTATGATATTGATTTTCACATGAAAAAATTTTATTAGATATCTTTCGAAAGATAATTTTATTTGAAATTTTATTCATGTTTCACATTTTCAGTTTATTTTGAGAATATCTATTTATATAATGAGAAGAGAATCTTCTTTTGATTTAACTATTTAATGCTTTGATCGATTGTTGAATTTCTTTTTTTGAACAGTTCACAAAGAACATCTCCATGACAACGATTAGGTTTACACCAACATCCTAATCTTTTTCCAGCTAATTCATGTAGATCATTGAGTAGATTATTTGGATTTGATTCGATATATTTTTTATAATGATCTAAAGCACCATCTCGTCCATATTGTTTAACAGAATATGGATTATACCATTTACTTTGATTCAATTGCCAACCACCCATATTGCAAGCACGACCAATATAAATATCACAATCTTGTACAATTTTTCCTTTTGAACGACGTAAATGAACCACTGTTGGTAGATTGGATATAAATTGAGTTTCATTTGTTGATTTGTCTAATTTTAATAATTTAGAACGAATATCAGTTGGTTCATCAATATTTTTACGTTTCGTTTCTGATTGCATAATTCTAAAAATATTCGAAAAAAAAAACAATTACTACACATTATGATTAAAATACATTGTCTATATTCAAATTATTATTGATGTTTGCTTGTGCATGAACAATATTACTATACTAGGTGTCGCTGAATACAGTCATACTAATTTTTATTATATTTTCTTTTGTAAAATAATAATTCATTTAATACAATCAAGAACTTCTTTTTTTTCAGATATTTTGAAAGTTTCATAAACTACTGTCGAAGAAAAATAGAATGATATCTTACTTAATGTGAGAGAAATAACACGAGAATAGAAATAGGATGATGAAGAATAAATAGAACAGAATAGTAACAGGCAATACGCAATGATTCACATAGTAATTTCATAAGTGTGTAAGAAGTATGTTTTTTGTTTTCCTTTCAGTTTCTATGGTCTATTTCACAACCATTCTCTTTTATTATATTTCAAATTATACTGTATATAAAAGTAAAGAAGTATTAGTTTGATTTACTATAGAGAGCAAAAAAAAAATCATTATCTCGTCATTCTCATTGTTTTATACACAATTATGATAGGCACAAAAAGTTAAACAAATAACAATGAAATATGATTTAGAACATCTTCAATCATGAAATCGCTCAAATATAAGGACATAAAAATATTAGAAAATCGGATTAATATTGAATATATTTCTTACAATCAATACTTCATTCATTCATTGTTCTGAATGCTTAAAAACTCTCAAGAATCAAAGCGATTCACCTTTTGGAAAAGCTATATTCTCTTTCACGTATTATATAATGCAGTTAGATAATGTTTTTTTTTATTCCGCTATGACTAAAATGCATCGAAGTACTTACCTATCTGCTCAAGATGAACGGAAACCATTAAAGAAAAATAGTCTTATTAGATTAAACTAACGAGAGAATATTCTTAGATATCAACTGATTTTTGAATCGAGACTTATTGCAACTTGTAGATCTTATTGAACTATGTCTGTTATAAAACGAGATCGTGCTTATGGTCTGTTTTGAGGCAATAGAATATTTTTAGTGAATTTTCGTTGTCGGATTCACATTTGCAACAAGACTATATTTTCGAATTTCCACCTGAAATGTTACTAACATAAAGGCCTCCATTAGACTAGCTTACGTAAAAAATTCGAAAATATGGCCTTGTTGCAAATGTGAAGTTCTCTATAGCAAAAATTTACTGAAAAACTTTTGATCTCCTTAGAAACAGGTCATAAACAGGAATTCTTTTTTATGATAGACATTGTTCACTAAGATTTACAAGATCCACAAAGCCCTGGTTCAAAAGGCAATTGATACATAGAAATGTACCCTCGTAAGTAGTGGATATCACTAATATAAATCTTGGTATATCCTATTATCAGACGTTGTTGTGCCTTTCGTATAAGCATTAATATTGAATTCTCTTCGACTACAAGTAAATTTTTTCTTCATTTATAGAAAGAATAAATTAAATTAATTTCATTACATTTTTTTATGCCTCTTTTTCTTAAAACAGAACCAAAAAAAATATAAATATAAAAATATCATATAAAAATCTGCTTCACATCTTCATTGTTTACTAAATTGAAATTAAGGTAAGGGAAAAAAGTTCGCGAAATTTTTTCTATCGATATAAATAGAAAAATTTTTGAGAAATTTTTTTCATAAATTATATTATAAGAGGCAGCGTGAAAAGCTCTACAATTTACATAAGACTGCTTTTGTTTTCAAAATCTACAAAAAGTGAAAAATTCACATAAAAAACCCGTCATATATGAAAAAGTCTTTTTCGCAGCATCGAAATTTGGTTGCTCCGAGTTTGATTGCTTTTGAAAACAAAAAGTGCAATTTTAAGCAAAGCCGTCTTATATAAATTATAGAGCTTTTCACGCTGCATCTTATAATATAATCTATGGAAAAAAATTCTCAATAATTTTTCTCTTTATATCGATAGAAAAAATTCCGCGAACTTTTTTCCCTTACATTATTATGCTTGAAAATATCAAATGATGAGAATTCTTTCTTTCTCGTAATCCCGTCAAAGGCATTTTATGCAACTTCGTACTATGGTCGCATAGCAATTATACAAATTCTTCTGCAGCGCAATTTCACGACTGAAATTCGTAACAAATTTGGTAAGACGACAAAAATTTTCTGAATCTTATCTTAAAGGTGCTTAATCGCCAGCTAGTAATGTAATTGGAAAAAAAAGTTGTAAAGAGAAGGAGTCATCCGATCATGTTTGTAGAATGGGCAGAAATCCTTGGGGAACTCGATCATTGGTAGGAAGGAGCTTAATGTCTGTTGTTGGAGAGAAGGACTGATTTCTCTCTAATGCCCATCTGATTACGATACTCTGATCACTCTCACAATAGTTTCAGAGTTATTAGAGTTTAGATAATGAATTCAAACTTAATCTTGTAATACGTTTGGCACACACAAATATAATATCGAAGAAGTTAATAATACATCATGAGTGGAAAGAATCTTTAGAATGTTCTAGTGGAATTCTATCTTATGAAAACATTTGTTTATCAGTTATTGATTGTTGATGATATATATTACGATAATATAGCGTAAAATTAGATAACTTAGAAATATTCCAGAGAGCATCATTTAATTTAAGTTAAACATTTTATTTTTAGAGTATTTTAATTAAATTTCCACACAGAATAGTAGGTCACCGAGCTTCTAATTTGTTTTGAAAGTCAAAAGAGTTTGGAAGTGGACTTTTATTGCAATGAACTTTTTGTATTGTAGCTATGATTTGATTCCCTTATAAGCACAGCAGTGCACAAGATTCAATAAATTAAGAGTTTTCAAACTGTTTAAGAACTTTTGACACGAGCTGTAATACTTATCGACGAACCAAAAATTGATTTCTACGCTTTTCCAGTTCTTTTTTATCAGTGAATCTGAATGATGCGTTCATTATATTACTTTTCTCATTCACACGTTCATCTATCGTTAGTAATGTGTGGATCTCACTATAGATACATTAAACCGAGCTCAGTACAATACTTTGGTTTGAGAAACTGTCAAGTTTTAAAGAAATTGAGAAAAAACTTCTATGAGGCATGTACTTATATGACTCGATCACGTGATATCATCTTAGAAGCTTATGTATAGTTCAAAATACAAACATGAGTTCATCTTAACTATTAACATATTTGTCAATTAGTCCTGATGATAATAAAATTATCAACTGTTTTGATGGATGCTTTTCAATATTCGAAGAATTCATTGTGTATTCTTTTCTATGCTTTTTATAGTAGAGAAAAAGTGCATGCATTTGTTGCTAATAAAATATGTCTGAGAGACAATCGATCTGATTTTCATATGAACTCTTATATTTAACTATTGACTTAAGGACAGATGAGAAAACTTTTTGATCGTTTTACTTCAGAATGAATAGAATCCTTCAAATACAAGCTTATTTTGTTAGAAAAAGAAGCAATGGAATTGTCATCGGAACTTTTCAATTCAAAATTGCATGTATAATTTACTTTTATTTCAATTAAAAAATAAAAATGTTGGATGTTTACATGATTAGAAAGATTAAAGTAAAAAAAAAAGAAAGTAAAAAGTTCACTAATATGGTCAAATATCATAATTTCTATAATTTAATCATCGTTATAAATTTTTCTTTGTAGATATTTTAACTTTTCTTTCTGCTAATACTTGCAATATCAGTAATAAGACCAATAATACTCCTATTATGACATGATTGTACGCTATTTGTTTTAAATAGTGTTCTTTTGTTGTATTGCTTGCTTGAGGTTCCATTACTAGTAATTCAACATATTTTTTTACTCTAAACAGAAAAATGCCCAGTACTGCTATAAATGCTGGTATACTCAAAAGATCATAAATCGTTCGTTTTATATTTCGTACCATGACCACACCACCTATGAGCATTGGTATGAGTGTAACTAGTGCTGTATACCACGGTTGATGGAAAGCATTTTGATAGTAGGAAGTACATGTATCGAATTGAAAAGGAGTAAGTGATGACGAAACAAGTGGATAGTGATCACAAAACATATCAATACATAAAAGACCTGTTTCAAAAAAAAAAAAAGATGAATAGGAAATCAATAAAAGAAAAGATTGAAGACCTACCGAGAGCAAACGAAATGATACATGGTGCTAAAACCATTTTTCTGTTGCAATAAATGAAGAAACAACAAATAAACAATCTGAAATAAATAGAAATCATACAACTATTATTCACAGAAACAAGTATGAAACTATTTTTGTAATACGAATTAAATAGATTTCAAATTTATAAGAGTAAGAAAAGCGAACGAGAAAATTGATCTAGTTATTCATGTAATTTATAATTTAAAATCAATCAAATACTAGTATTAAACTCTACTGTAGTAATCCTATGATCATTTGATTTCACTAGATGAAAAATGTGACTATTGAATTTCATTTATCTAAACAAACTTTTTCTTTTTATAAATGTCGTTTATCAAACCAAATTTTATACCTTTTTTTATCTTGAAATAAGACAAAGTGTAGTATATGGTGTTCGACGATAAAGGGTGTGGTGAGAAATACCAATCACCTACATCATGCACTACCAATGGCGACATCTAATTCACGTCGTAGTATCAGAAAAAAGATTACAATAGAGATAACATAGATCAGATGCTCTATTAAACAGTATATTTTATTTTTGTTTAAAATTAGTGTCACGCTCAAGATGTCGTTACGCTACGGCTATGAAAGTGATTTCAAATGAGTGTAGTAGAAGGCTTATCATGATAATGAAATTTATAATGCCATCGCTGTAAGTAACCAGAGACTGAAATCGGCAGAATATTTTGTTCCCTATTCCACCCAGAAAAAAAACTTTCCTCACCTTGCCTCGTCCGACCTTAATTTTTTTCTTCGCTGCTTTGTTACGTCTTTATCAGATGTTTTGTATCTTTTGATCACATCATTTATTTAACTATATATTGCAAAAAATAGACACAAGAACACAAGAATGCAAAAAGATAAGCACAGCAGCAGCAACAGAAAGATGACAAAGCTTGAGATCAATCAATCTTTTACTTTGTTGATCTCTATCAAACGAAGAAACAAAATATTATTAGCAGTTGTTGGGTCTATAACTCGCTTATAATGTGGTTCATTAACGAGCGACTTTCGTCAAAAGTACACTTAGGCTCTATATTATTTCTACAGAAAATTTGAACTTTCCGTAGACGATTTATTTTGGACGATCTTCTAAATTGAGTTATTGTCTCTATATAGCTTCAAAAAACAAGAATTCAATCCATATAAATGGAAAAAGGAGAAGAGGCGCTACATTTTGGCATATAAATGTTTTTAAAACTAACTTTTAGATGAGATTTTACGAATACTTGATGAAAAAGTTGGCATACAGTTCATTTAGTTTAGGTCTAAAACTTCTTCCACAGCGTAGAGCGTCTCACGGTCTTTCGATTTTTATATTTAGAAAAAAAACTTAGTCACTACAGGATATACATAAAGAGTCGGCATTAACTGTCCGTCAACTTTTTCATAAAGTATTCATAAAATCTCATATAAAAGTTAGTTTTAGAAACATTTATATACCAAAATGTAGTGCATATTCTCCTTTTTCCCTTTATATGGATTGAATTTTTTTTTTGAAGCTATATAGAGACAATAACTCAATTTTGAAGATCGTCCAAAATAAATCATCTAGGGAAAGTTGAGTCATTCAAGTCGTTATACGTCTAGTTCCACTATAACTCAACATGGAAGATTGAAATTTTCTGTAGAAATAATATAGAGCCTAAGTGTACTTTTGACGAAAGCCGCTCGTCAAAGGATCACATTATAAGAGAGTTATACTCAAAATAAAATCGTCCAAAAATATTGTCCAGGATTATGTATGACATATACCAGTTATTTAGCGATATGCAATGCACGAGTTCGATGATACTGTTTTCATATGAATAGATAAGCTGTTTATATATGAATAAAAACCTGCAATTGTTCTCTGTTCTTAGGAAAAAAAATCAGCTCATTTAGTTAGAGTACAGTGGAGATATCCAATTTTTAATGTCTGTTTCGTGACTTTCTGAACGCCCTGTATAAACGCATCTGAAACGGAGGAAGCGAATGCGTACAGACTTGATTCGAAATTGAATTGTGTTCGAATGCCATTAACAAATTCTTTAACTTGCATCTGAATGCGACCAGAACGTAAAACATGTCCGAACGCGTTTCAACAATTTGCAGTAACCGTGTCCAGATGCATTGGAAAGTTGTTCCTAAATGTATTCATATGCAGTCTATAAAATATCACGTTTAAACGCGTCTATTTTGCGTTTGGTGTTTACATAGGTTATTTGTAAGAAGCAAATATCTAGGTTGTGTATGGTCAATTTATTTATGTGCATAGTGATACACAACTGAGTAACACGTCGTCTAATGAGTATCGAGTATTCATTCGTTTTCAGACTGATTACTCAATGCTTCAATTCTATACTCATGTGCACTATTTTTTCTTCGTTCGGATTTAGTGGCGCACGTACGACGTTGAGTTCTACTAAGCAGATATACACAACGCAGAAAAAGAGAAAGAAAAATTACATATCCTCGAGGTCAATTTGCATTCATATAGAAACTTACATATGAAGTATGATGAGAAAAATCGTGACTGGTTATCTATCCTCAAACTAGGCACGACAGATGTCAAACCAATGAGAGATAACCGAATTAAAATAGTAAGCAAAGGAAAATGATCCGATCATTACATATAAAATAATCGAAGGCTGAATATATTCGACTAATCTCTGGCTTATTTTATTAATTTTGAAGACAATGGACACAGCTGAAATGACAATGGAAGACGCATTGATCAATGAAGGATTCCGAAAAAGGTATTTTCCTTTCGTATCCATAAAAATCATACTTATCTTTTTAACCTTCATCGACGAATTTAACTAACGAATGGCCTATAAAGAATGACGACTGCAATATTTCATAAATATTTCAATCAGTTTTATCCTACAGACTTGATCCTTTTTTAAATATTCTCTATAAAGTTTTCTACAAAATCAAATGAAAAGACCTTGCAGACGATATAACTGTGAAAATTAATGTGCTTATCAGCAATGTATTCCAAAAATGTTCTTTTCAAAGAATCCCTAATCACTTTTTGTATTTTACGTCTCTAAAAGAGTATAGTACATTACAACCGTTGGAAAGTGTTATAAGTTGACGAAAAAATCATCTGAATTAATATCTGTCGTTTGAGCTTATGTGAAGTCTACAGGAACGCTTTGGTATGACTAGCAAAAGTTTAAAAAAGTTCCTCTCTATGAAACTTTGGGGCCGAGTGAGGATCATTTTTGCTGAATTTTCGACTCATATTTAGATATTTATTAGAAAATCAGACGACGGAATTTCGATGTGAAATTTTATTCATAGATAAGTCTAACGATTCATAGAATATTCTGAAAGTTTCAGTCGAAAAGAATGGTTTTTTTTGTCAAGATATTTTAATTTTCAATTAAATTCGATTTTTCTATGATGCCTATGGCAAGCGATTATTCTTTGAAAATTCGATATTCCGACAAAAAAAAAACATTCTTTTCGGCTGAAATTTTCAGAATATTCTACAGTCCATTTGATCTATATATGGGTAAAATTACACACAAAGATTCGGCTATTCAAGTTTTCGATATGTATATCTAGAACTGGATCGGTAATTTAGTAAAACTACGGTAATTTGGCTCCAAAAGCCCAAAGAAACCAATTCTTTTAGGCTTTTTTAAAGTCATACCAAGACCTATTTGTGAACTCAATATGAGCTCAAATGGGGAGTATCAATTTGGATGATTTCCACATGAGCGGTCATAGGAAGCTTATAGGCTTGAAACTTTCATGAATAGAACGTTGTTCTTCTTTTCTTACATTAGAATTTTTCGAACTTGTTATACAATAGTTTCGTTACTTACATGTCATCAGATATAAGCGTCTCTTTCTATGATCGAATCTTTACACATTATCTCTGACGAAAAAAGATTGAATTATTCCATATATTTTTTCACAGAAAGCTATCTATGGAACAGCATTATTTTATCTAAATGCCTCGTTCTGAGTACAATGAGAAAGAATATCCTTGATGATAGAAAGATATATGCATCACGATAATACGATACCTGATTAGTATACAAGAGAACGCTAAGTAATTATGCGAAAACTTACTTTAGCAAGTGAGTCGTTGCTAAGCATACCAATATTTACCATACAGTTTGTTCGAGTTATATTATTTACAAGACTTTTTCTATGGTTTTAAAGAGAATTGAAGAGCGATTCCTTAGAAAAAAAGCTGTATGCGATATTTCAGAAGTGCTGCAACAGCTACTTATCATGCGTCATTGAATTTTCTTTTCGAAGTATACTCTATAGTGTAGAATCTTTTCTTTTATTACTCTCAATCGTACGTTTCTTGATTTATGTTAAGCAGATGTTTAATATGAATGCTGTCGTATTGTGAGATCAAATATGAGCACGTGAGAATATGGATTCAGAGATCGAATCGAAAGAAGAGCGAAAATAAAAGGACTTAAAGAACATTATGTATGACGAATAAATCAATTTCACTTCTAATGGCATTTTGCTCTTGTTTTTCTATATAGAACCAATGACGAGAACGCGGATGTTTACAAAATCTTCAGCATACTCTATGGTTTAGGTAAGTTGTACTCAGCTTTAATCAAAAGTCAATAAAAAAATCATCTTCCATTTCATAGCCAACGATTACTAGATTTCTTTAGAATAGATATATCAGTGATCCAACTCAGACTCAGACTTATTCCAGATTTTGTCTAGTCGGGTCCAATATTGGTCTGAATACAAGTTTGGACATCGACATGTATCAGTTTTTCCGAGCGTGACGCGGCGACGTTGTGGCTGGAGCTTTTTTTTGGGTTGTCTCAACAACTAGATTATTTAAAAAGTGAATTGCCCACTCAATATATACGTATTTGTCCCCTTCTCAATATCTGACAAATTTCAGTTCGTTCAACTCAATTGTTTGAAAATTATGACAAAAACGTGGGGTAGTATGATGATAGAAGGAGAATGAAAGTTAAGGGTGACGTTTCTTTTCTTTATTTTTCTGCGAATGTGCACTATATTGAGAAAAATATATATAGGAGGTTATGTAACGACAGTTCGAGAGGTTATTCAATGTAAGTTATGAGAGCATCCATACCCTAGCCGAAATCATCAATAGAAATTGTTAGCTTCCAGGCACACACTGGGCAGTAGATTAGGACCCTTCAGATACGACTATGTAACAGTCTTAGAGTTTTATCCTACATACAGAAACACTATTGAAAAGACAATGGGAGACGGGAAAGAGTGTTTAAACCTGTAAATTGACTCTACAACCTTGGTGTCGGTTAAACTTCAATTTTCACATATATTCTAATAGGATTCTTCGAGCTGACTGCTTTTTGTGCGAGAACTTTGCTTCCAGTATAAAACTTTGAAAAGATATTACGATGTAGACTTTTGGCCATTTCGCCCTGTTGGCCTATGTTTCCCTCTTCATTTAGAAAATTATGATAAAACAAGATTTTTTATACTATAATCGAACGACCATATTTTGGTTTATCTTTCCTTAAAACATTAACATTTTTTGTGAAGTCCTAATAGAGTCTTCTTCCAAAACTATAACTATTAGAAGGTCTCATAACAAGAACTTAACAATTAATCGCTGTGTTGTAGAATTCATTTTTCAAGCGTGAGAGTTTTATTTTAAAAGTAAAGTTCCTACACAAACATACTTTGTTTATTGAACCTTATCACAGTGTAGATGGAAATGAAAGTTTTAGCAACACAAAATCGTGAGACCAATTGATGATCTTATACTCTCTTATCTCTTGCAATGTTTGACATAATTAGTATCGAAGTAATCTTTCTTCAACATCTCTTTATGACTAACAGATAGAACTTCAGTAAAGAAAGCAGCTGATTTTGACTCGCTTCGGGTATTAGACTGACTAAGCTGCTTTTGAAAGTTTAAATCATATTTAGACGCTCTAGAAAGTCTTATATTTTAGTGTGTTTTGATGTTTTATCATGAGATATTGCTGTTCTAAACAATCAAACATGCGTATATGACAAAATAAAGGTCACTAAGCTATGATTCGATCCCAATACAATAAATCAGGAGAAAAATCAGAGAAAGAAAAGCGATTGATGTATGTCTGTTCGATCATAACAGATTCATGCCAAGCAATCCGAATGATGATCAAGGATCTTCAAGAGAAAATATTAGTCGAAAATGAGTGGTTAACAAGAAAAAGTATTCGCTTAGTAAATGCATAGATAGACAGGATGAATACTTTAATAATTAATGTTATATTTAAAATGGTTTTATACTGAGATACTGCATTGATAAGCCTCAGAATTTTGAGATTCCTTTTTTTTTCAACTGGAATTTAGTGTTGCACTGGAATCAATAATAAGATTGAAGAGCGTATTATGACAACTGAATCTTCTAGTTTAACAGTAAATTTCAAACGAAAGTATGGAAGCAGATCATCTCTTTCTCCACACCTTCATCCACTAGTATTTTTCTTTACCCGAAATATTGTGAACCTAAATTCAAGTTTCGCTTTAAGTAATTTTTGTCAAAAGATACTGAAACGATTAATTCGATCTGCTATAATTGACATATGAGCTTCTGGTTGGAAATAAGATTTTACTTGAAATCACTATAAACACTATAATTCATTAGTTATCTTCATTGGTGGTGTGTCCTTTTCAATTTCGCATGCTATTGTGCCAAGATGGGAAGGTGAAATTATCAAAGGTTTGGCTGAGGTAAGCATGTGGATTCCTAGAAGACTTGAGACTCATTAACAACATCGATTTCACTGCATCCTAGATCTATTTCACTTATTTATACTGGACATCCATCATTTGGATTATATTCTGTATAATCGATATCATTCGTCATCGACGCAAAGTCAACATTCCTACAGGACCTTTAAATCGACTGGATTCCAATCAGACTACTTTGGGTGGTAATGTTCGTCTCGTGCACAAACAGCTCTCATCGCCATCGTCAGAACCGAATTTCAATTCCGTGATTAAACCTCATATTAACTTGAAATTACTTCATAATCCTGAACAAAACCAATTAGATAATGATGATGATGTACAACCACAGAAACATTCCAATGAACCAATAATAGAGATAGAACATAGGCATAGTTTTCATGATCATCACACTAAATCGAACTCTTTGGGCAATATCTTAGATCACTCATCTGCAGCAACATCACCAACGGATACGACACGAGATATTACAACTCGACGACGTGCTCTCGATCCACTTGGAAAACATCATCTCATAAAGTATGTACGCCATCGAAGAGACAGTATTGTCCAACACGTTATCGGTTACAATTACGACGATAATTCTGTCGTTGGTGGTCTTTATACTCGTGTAGGTATTGGAAGTAAGTTGAACAAAAAGATATTAGCCAATGCTGAACATCTACAAAAAGATCATTCTAGTTTTTTGTCTTGGTACAGTCATCCATTCGAGTCTATCAATTCTAAGTAATTTGGAAAATTCTCCATGTATACGATGGACAGCTGTAATGGACGATTTCTCACGATTACTCTTCACTTTCATTCAATTCTTCTTCATTTTCAAACACTCGAACGTATGTTATTCTAAAATAGTACAATATCAAATGATAAGTCGAAAATTGTTCATACTTTAGCTCATCATTCGAGCTCATGAGAGTCTAGCTCGTTTGGCAGTTATGCATATCGTGGTCGCTAATTTGTGTGTATGGTAGGTTTCTTGTCACTTAAAATGAAGAATGTTAAATTCATTTTTTTTGGCGTTCATTGATGCGAACATCATGCTTGAAAATAGAAAAGCGAAATCTTTCGATCTGCAATAAAATCTATTCGTTTCTTACAGAACTAGAAATGTTTCTTTATAGTTTCAGTAGAGACAAATCGAACCATTTTGTTTCTCAGTTTTCGTTGGATCAATAGCATCTATTATTCATTTACAATTCAGCTGATTTTAAAGCTTTTGAAATAAGTTTTAATGCCGGTAATTTTATTATTCCAAACATAAGTTACAAACAATCTACGTTTCGTTGGAAACTATTTCTATCAGATTCTATTATCATAAGATAATGCTATATTACGTATTTTGACAGGTTTCGCATGGTTGTGATTGAAACCCTAACACAAATCACAGAACTAGATGGTCATGGAGCGGCTGTGACACAACACAATAGTACCGCTAGCCACTTTAATAATGGTGAGTGCTCATCGTCATTTTGTAGTTGTTTTTTCTTATACTTTTCTAAATCAAAGACAATCACGACACAACAAATGTTCTCAATCGACTACTGCTCTTCCATTTGAAATGTTCAAATTTACAGGCCAAAGGATCAACAGTTCACACTCTCATTCATGAAGGTTACATGAAATTGGAACCGCTCTTATATCCATGCACAATTGAATTTAGTCTTATGTGCCTCACAGTAAGTTCCACTTGTTTTTGACTCATCCATATACATTCTCATTGACTCTCACATAGCTGTTCTTTCTCATCTGGGAAAATATTGGGGAAACATTTATACATAAAATATCGGATAAAGAATCAACAAAAAATGTTTTCATGGTAAATTGTCATGCATCCATCAAAGGACTCTTTGTTGGAATGATCGTTTTCTCCTTTACGTTAATTTCAACTCTTCTCTATGCTATGTTTCGAAATAAAATCGGTGATACTACCCATTTGACGTCATCCTCATCGGCTGATATGAATCACAATCATCTACACAGTATGCCTACGAGTACAGAAATGATATTGCATCAACAACATGCAATGTCTGCGATGATACCTAGTGAAATTGGTGTCGTTCATGATCCATTCACTTCTGTATCAAAGACTCCGAAAACGATGGATTTCAACATTGCCATTCTTGAGATCGTGAATTTATGTTTATTGATTTCTTCATTATTTGCTACGATATGGGCATTAATCAAAATTCGCAAGCTGCAGTATCGCCGAACGACGACACGTGAGTAAAAGAAAAAAAAAAGCAAAAAAATACCTTCCAATATGTTTCTTTGTCAAATAGGTTTCGACGATGTTCTCATTATTGTCGCATTGACAGGCATCTATTTATATTCGATCTTCAGCGCTTTCGCTATTATTAGTAATCTGAGTTCATCAACATGGATCGCCTATGTTAGAGTAGCAATCATTATTTTAGGTATGATACGTGTTAAATTAAAGGATTAAGATTAGTTATTGACAAATCTATGAAATACTTTACCAAGTTCTGAGTCAAGCTACTTTTTTTTAACTAGACCGATGTAGATCCTTCTGATTTTATCTCTTGTAGAATTCGTCGAAGGTACCGTTCATGCATTGTTTATTCTTCTTGCATTGCGCAAACGTTTGAAACGAAGTCCTAAACATAAATATCCAGCACGTGAAATGATTACTCTACTGATTATGCTTGATCTGAGTCTTTGGTTTGAAAAAACAACAACAACAACTAAACATGAAGCAAATCCATTTCAATTAGCCTTCTATCATGTCGTCCCATGGTCGATTATCGCCGCCATTGCTACACCACTTCAAATCTTCTTTCGTTTTCATGCATCTGTCTGTTTATCACATGTTTGGGCAAATATGTACAACTTGCCACAATATCCATCAGCATCTGTTCGTGAACTCTGATATTTTGTTTTTGTATGCCATTGTGTTGTATCTTCTTTGCATGATATATATAAAGGCATGGGTGACATTAGATGTAGAATGAACTTTGTTATTATTTTTTAGAGCACTGACACCATCAGTCATTCAGACACGATTTCTTTTATCATTTTCCACGACTTGTTTCTTGAAGATAAGCTAACTGACAAGGGAATATTTCCAGGTATCAAAGCGCTTTTCAGCCGAAGTTTCGTGCATCTTGTAGGCCATAGTGAGCTGTGTCTATTGTAAAAAAAAGTTCGAGTTTCTGACTTGTTTCTGAGGAAATATCGAGCTGCTAGTGAATTTCTGTCTATAGTACGCCTATATTGGCAGCAAAGCTATACTTTTGAATTTTGACCTGAAACTTTACCTGCATAAAGGTCTCGGCTAGATTAGTTTGCATGAAAAATTTCAGAAGTTTTGAATAAAGTCTCTCTAAGATATGAAACTATCCAAGTATAGTCTTTTTTTCATATATAATATATACAGTATGCTTTTTTTTTAAAGTTTCGTATTTTAGAGAGATTTTATTCAAAACTTCCGAAATTTTTATGCAAACTAATCTAGCTGAGACCTTTATGCAGGCAAAGTTTCAGGTCAAAATTCAAAAGTATAGCTTTGCTGCCAATGTAGGCGTACTATAGACAGAAATTCACTAGCAGCTCGATATCTTCTCAGACACAAGTCGGAAATTCGAACTTTTTTTTACAATAGACACAGCTCACTATGGGCTACAAGATGCGCGAAACCCCAGCTGAAAAACGCTCTAGTACCTGGGAGTGTTCCTTTGTAAGTTGAAATTTCTTCGGACAATGACTATAGTTGAATATTTCAATACGAACGATTGTTGAAAAACTTTGAATGCTATTTGGGAAGGATAAATCAATCAATCAATCATATTTCGTTTTTTTTATCAACAAATACTGAATATATTTAATTGCAACAAGTTCAATACATTTTAGAAGATACTGAAAATTGTCTTGAATATCTATAGTGAGTGTCAAGGAATTTTCTTTATTAGAATGAAAAGTTCGTGTATAATTTTATTGTCTATTATACGGAACATAGTGTTTACAAGTAGAATTATGCCGATGATTTCCATTGCGTCTTATAGGTTGGAAATCTGCTAAACATGACCAACAAAATTCATGACGACATTTAATACAAGTCATATGATCACATCCATCATTTTTTTCTATTTGATATGGACAATTTGGACATTTTTTAGAATTTTCAACAATCCATCTTCGACTAGATTCATAAATTGGATCCATACGCATATCAAATTCTTCACAACTTAATCCTTCATGCCATTTTATTTTGTGTGTAAAACATGTTTTTTGATGACAATTAAAACAAGTAACTATATTATTTAATGCACCACCTTCATTTAATTGTCCAACATTACATAAAATATTCGAACACCAAATAAATTCATCCATTTGTTCTAATTGTCGATGAAATATATATCGATCATATCTTTCAACAAGTTTATTATCACCATTTGATAATAGAATATTTTTTACTATATCATAATCAAGTTTAACATTACAATTATATTCAGGACAATAGATATCATCAGTAAATGTTATTTGAAAAACTTGTTGAACATGACGAAAAAGACAAGAATTGCATAATGATCGATTTAAATGTTGACAATTTGTAGTCAGTAGACCATCAAATTCATTTGAATCTTTATCTTCATAACATACTGCACATGTTTGTTGTTCCTTCTTTATGAGTATTGATGGCGATCTATTCAAAAATTCAATATTATAAGTCAATATTTGAACAAAAACTTAGTAGCGTAACCAGAGAGCAGTCATCATCTTCTAGAAATGTTCAAGTTGTTTTTCCTGTCTAAAATTGTTGTCCCCTGATTATGCTATTATAAAAAAATCCTGAAATGATATTAGCTTTTATTTTTACATATTTTCACAATGCAATAGAATCCTTATAAGAAATTTCAGATTAAGTGTTGCAAACAAAGATTAGAACAAATTTTGCAAAAAAATATGATCAAGTTAATTTAGTACAATTTTGTTTAGGTTGTTAAATCATTATTCTTAATATCCTTTCTTAAGAAAGAAAAACTTACCGAGTATTTTCTGCAACTACATTTTTTGTTTTTATTTGTGAATGAGAGAATATGTCCGTCGTTTTTATTCCTGGTAAAAGATCAAATCCAATGCACATATAAAAAATTCCATATTGATCAAGTGCAGTTTTATTTTGTAATGTATCCCAACTGAGAAGACAAAAAATAATTATGCAGATCATTAAAATAAATCTATACGATGTGAGAAAAATATGAATATGTCTTATGGAAAATAAATTATCATCATCAGTGAGAATTATTGACTTGAATATATAACCAATGAATAAATAAAGAATACATGATGATATAATCCATCGTATAGAAAGTATTAAATGATTTATTTTTAATAAAATATACTCTTCTTTATCTGTAAATGAATAAAAAGTTGACAAAATTGATTTCATGAAAAACATTGAATTAAATTTCCGTTTAATAAGTTCATTCAATTTAAATGAATCGATCCAAAAGGTTTCATTTAAAAAGAGATTATTTAATTGATAAATTAATATAGGTAAAATTATTTTTCGTCCAATACGAAATAGATTTTTAGTTAAATATCGAATAAGACTGATATTAACCAAAATAAAAAGTAATAAATCAAATAGAATAATAATTTTTCTTTTCCATTTATAATCACATTTTCGACGTACAATATCAATATTAATTATTAAACGAATTAAAGCAAAAATTAAAGAAAGAACAAAACGAATTGATGGATAATGCATTGTCTTTTTTATTTCTATGCCAATCTTACATGAATTTTCTTTATTAAAACATTCTATTTTATATTGATAAATTAAAAATAAATTGATTATATCAATTAAAGGTAGAATAAATTCAAAGAATTTTAAAAATGTTATGTAAATATAAAATATTCCATCATCAGATATCATTATCAATGTTCCAAATAATAAAATAAAACATATTAATCCTATACAAATAATACCAATCAATCTTATTAATGTTAATGATGATTGAATATGTTCTAATAATGTTATTTTTGGATAGAAATTCAAAATAGAATTGAATATTAATTCGAGTATAATATTACTAAGTAGACTTAATATTAAAAGAATAATTATTTTTAAACGTGTTGTTACCATTTTATGCAGATAAGAATTAATAATTGGTCGAATTCTAAAACATATTAATCTTTATGCTACAATCTAACTTGAGATGATCACTTGTTTATTGTTGTTTGATTTATATTTTAATGAAATCACTGAAATTTTTTAAATGACAAATTTGTTTTCTTTGTCTGGAAAAAAACCAAAGCATAATAATGAATCATTGTTAAAGAATGGTAAAAAAACAACAGAAAGACATGATACCATATAAAACTTACAAAATACTAATTTCGATTTATATGAAAATTTTTTTGACGAATAATAACAATCTATATTAATTATTTTGCTATCGTTTTACAAAACTTATTTTAATTGTCATTACGCATTCTTTTCTCTTCCAGCTTACACTTTTTTTTTGTTGTCTCAATTTTTGCCCATTCTTTTGTCAAGTCAACGCATGCATACACTCACATGAATATCACAACTAAAAAGAAATTCGACACGTGTACATACCTTTCTATTAAAAAGTTTTCTTTTTTTTCGTCTGATACAAACTTGCGTAAAAATATTTTATACATAAAAACATTTATGAATTGCGTAAGAAAATAGACTTTAAAATACATCTTGATACATCTCGTCTCATATACATTTATGTATTATGTGAACTTAATGAGCAAACTTTTTAAAAAATAATTGTTATCAATAATCAATAGTTTGTTTGAACTTTATAAAAAAAAAGTATTGAATAACATGAGATAAATTTGATTCTTTTTGTAATATATTTGAATGTTTAAATAGTACAATACTCGTCAATTTATGGACCTATCAATTGGTATACTTATTCAAACAGTGAATTTAATAATTGTTCCATTGAAAATAAACGACAAGTAATCCAAACAAACTTTGACAAGTATATCAGTCGAAAATTTGAAATAAGTAATTTTGTTTGTTCTGTTCTAATTTTGAGCTCCTCTTCATGACCATCGGATTTCGAGTAGTTAGGGAGAGAATATCTATCAAAGTTCTGATCACTCAAGAAAACTAAATATATCGTTAAGAATTCTTGCGAATATTTCGATTAAAGCATATCCATCTGGATAATAGTTTCCACTGCTTGATTTTATCTTGATTAAGTGGAATTTCTTTGAAATTTTTATAAATTTTTGAGCAATATGTATCATCTATCAATAAAAATCAAGGTTGAAATTCATCGGTGATCGTGACAAAGACATAGCCATATTGAGTTTTGCATTTTAAACACTTCAAAAAATTTCAAAATACTGATTTCATATTTTATTATATAAAACAGTTAATTATTACACATCATATTTATTGAACAAGCTCTAAGCATAATGTATTCAATAATAACAAACTCATCTATTTGTTAGAAATGTGAAAAAAATGTCTTTTTTGTCTTGATAAAAAATTTCTATTTTCAATCTTCAAAAATTAGAAGAAATAGTTTAATAAATGACGAACACAATTGTCTAACTATTACTGTTATATGTGCTGAAAAGATGACTTTCAAATAAAAGTGAAAGTTTATATTTTTCTTCCGAATACTTGACAAAGATTAATTGTAAGTACTCATATTGAAATCTCTTCATTCGCATTTACAATTGAAAAACATTCATTCCTGTGGTCTAAACTTGCCCATCACAACAACTTAATGTCAAGTCCTCGATCTATTGAAAAGTGACAATCGAAGATCATTGGAAACTCAGATCGATGCATCGAAATACTCATCAAAATGACAGCTTCGGAGAGATCAAATTCAATCCTAAGATCATATTATATGCTAATCATAAACATTTCATCTATATCTGTTGATTTTTCTATGAACAAAGAAATCTCTATGTCGATCTTTACGATCAACTGTAGTTTAACACATGTTAATGAAATAAATTTCTCTTATTTTGATATAATAATCTCCAACATTCATCTGAGAAAAACATGTCACAATTGAAGCTGTGCATGATCAAATTTATTTCCACTATAACTTGTAGTTTGGAGAAAAATATTTCAGAATTTTTATTCGAATAAATTATAAAAATATTCATTTTTTGATTTATTCGAGGATTTTTATTAGTATGATTTATAAGACACAGAATGTGTAAGGACAGGAAGAATTTTGTGCGCTGCTTTTTACAATGAAGATCGTTAAATTTCATACCCTAATTACTTGTTACTTTTTAGTCGATATAGAGTAAATTGAACTTTTCGTAGGTTCATCACACAACCTCTCAACGAGCAAGGAACCTAGACTTTGTGAGAAGTTCAGGTAACTTAGTTCACCTGACTCTTCTGCAGAAGGCTCAGGTGGAAAAAAGGCTACGTAATCCTCGCGCCATGTTTTACATGACATGGCTTTGATGAAACTTTTACATTTTTAAAGTGGCTTAGTGAAGAGTATTCGACTCCATTTAACTCTTCGTCTTCAATTCTTAGTCGAATGTCTTTTGGTTTATTTGTGATAATTGTGAAGAAAAAATTGCATTCAAGTTTAGTTGGAATAAACGCAATGGGCACCGAGATCATGGTAAAATAACGTTTTTTAAATTCCTAATAAATTGAATAAATGAAATGAAAAGTAATTGGTCTAATGGATTTATTTAGTTTTGACCAGACATAGAACGATGGCCTGATGCAGGAGAATTTCACAAACCTATATCTTCCTATCATTTTGATCGATTACTTCTATTTGCTGCTGCTATTTATCAATACTATGTTTGAATAGATGATCGAATATTTCTCCAAACGATTTTATCATGAGCTGAATTAGATTGTCATAATATAGTTGAATCGGAAAATTTTCTTGAAAATCAAAAGAAACGAGAATTGTATCAATTGTTAGCTGATAAATTTGTCTTTCTCTTTGCTGAAACTTTTTCGAATGAAACTATAGAAAGATATGTTGGCTGGATAGATAAAAATGGTACTCAACATGATAGTGATTATGTCCTTATCAATTTTGAAATATCCGTTCGTAATATGGGTAATCGTATCAAAGTTGATCATACCTTTGGTTTGTTGTCGCCAGCAGCTAATTCTATTTTCATTGATTCAGGTAATGAACGCATTTACGTTCATCATCATAAGATTGTAGTTTCAACACCCACAAAAGAAGATTTTGCACAATCGGATTTAGATGGATAATCAGATCTAGCTGAAGGACAAAGGTCTTACGGTGATCTTGTCGCAAGTGATAGAACAAGGAAGTTGTTAATATACTATGATATTACAACTATGCAAAGAATTTTCAAAATAAATTTCATAAGTGATAATATTTTCATTAAAGCTATGGAGTCTTTTCATTGTATACAGCTACCTTCGATTTTGATGATTAATAGAGTTTGTACGATCGGTAGCTGTAATAATTTCATCCAATGTTATTAAATAATTCACTCTGGGATTCCAGTTTGATAAAATGCTAAGCTAGACAATATACAAGATTATTCTTATGTACCTATATGATATTTCATATAGAAAATAATTTCGTATAAAACAAATCATAATACTTGCAAATAAAAATTCATTTTACTATTGATAATTAACAATGGTCGTGTTATTTTTAAGACATTGAGACTTATCCAATGACTATCATTAATATTTGTGATTTAAAAAGAACTTATGAATTTAAAATAAAAAGAAAATAAAAACAAATAACGCGATGAAATTTTACTTTTGCATTCCAATAAGATCTTGATTTCAATTAGAGTTAGGACAAGTACAGCAAATAAAACTATTTTACTTGTACTTATATATGAAAAAAAAGTCATTACTTGGTATTTTTACTTGGTGTATAAATATACCTTATGTCGTCTGTAATGTTGGCTACCTGTGATAAAGTTTTCAAGACCACTGTAATATCATCTGATCAAAAACTAAATGAAAATAAGAATATATAAATGCAATTTGTTTTCTTTCATATATTGATGAAATCACTGTGGGACACTTGTAAAAAGCGTCTATTTTTATTGTTTGAGTTTCTTCAAAATGCGGAATGATATCCGTAAATGATGATGCTCATCCGAGTCACTATCATAGATAAATAAAATTCTCGATGATATTCAGATCGCTGCTCTGCAAGCACCGACCGATCATTGTTTTGCTACATTTTCAAAACATCAATATGATTTTTTAAATATTGACTAGAAGGGTTTGAATATAGAATGTTGATCAAAGATTTCTTGAATATATGTTAGACCTTTCTGAAAATAGACTTAAAACCATTAGATCTTCCTAAGAATATTGTACTTCAAATATATACAGTTCTATCAGATCTATTTTTATATGTGACTAATACTTTAAAAAAATTATTACGTTGAGGATGAAAATCAATTTTGAGAAGATTAGAATAAAAATCAGATTATAAGATTAAGCTTAAAATTATCCCAAAAGAGACACATCAGTTTGTCGTAGGACCATTGTGAAGAGTTAAAACTTACTTATCATTCTAACACCATGAATAATTATGAAAATTTCAAAGAAACAGAAAAATAATTCAAACAAGAATAAAGACAATATTTCGTATTCCAAATAAAAGTACGAAGTTCAAGTTTTTGTACTAAAGTGTAAGTATTAGTACCAAATACTTTTCTCGAAGTACAATCATAAGTATGAAACACACTTGATGAATACTTGTACTTTTATTTTTACTTGAAAAAGTGCAAGTACAAATACTTTCATCCGAGCTTTCATTTCAATTTGGAAAAAAATCAATAATATAAATGCACGTTAACTGACAAGCATAACTAAACCATAACAATTGTACTATGTACAATGGACACATTACTAAAATTTCATAGTCAAATATGCTCCGAATCAATACAAAACAATCGAAGGTGTAGGTGTGGGTGATGGAATCAATTTCATAGTCACATCCATACCCACACCTACACTCACTCTGGGAATCGCCCTTAAAAAGACTTAAAAAACAATCAACACAGATTCATTGATGTCGTCGTCAAGCTTTGATCAGATTTTACAAAATATCACTGTTTTTCAAAAGATAACCTTTTTTTGATGAAAAAGAC